CCCTCAAAGTCACACTGATAAATATACTGATACTATAATATGCAGCGTATCATGATCTCTAATAGCAATGCTGACACTTTGGGACTAAAATGAAAAAGAATGCTATTGATTCTAAGTGGTCTGCTTTTGGTGTTCAATATTACACCAACTTCTTAACAATTTGTCTTATAAAGAAAGTTTTGTTAAAATAACCTTATTTTTGCAACAGAGATTTTATGATGCACTTAATTACATAATGTGCTATAGCTGGAATCTATTCTCTTCCATGGATAAATTAAACCAAATCTGTAGTCTTGAGATATTTTATAGATGGTGTTGGCAGCAGACACCCTACTTCTCCAGCTGGGAAATGCCACAAGCTTTCTGAGAAGAGGACGAGATTCCTCTTTTAAAAATCCTAATATTTACAATAGAGATCAGAATAATAAATGGTAAACCAAGTAAGTGTGACTTAAGAGTTCATGTAGCCAATCAAAATGAAGTAGGTTTGAATCCTAACTCTACATATGAACTGTGTGGGTACTTGGGTTTACTTAATCTTTCCTGGACTCGTTTTTCTTACTTAAAAAGTAAGAGTGCTTGTGAGTTTTATAGAAATTATGGTAATAATAATGGCCTGACTTTTATTAATAATTTAGAGTGCCGCACCTCACTTCTAGCACAATTCACACCTTAGGTAAATTAGGAACAGATACACTCTCTTGGTTAGAGGTGGCAAAAAAAGATCCCCCTTATAGACGGTTCAACTAGAAAAAGTTGCTTTCACCTCTAGGTGGCCTCAGCTCCAGGCACAGGGCTTGCCAAGCTGAGCTGCTTCTCCTATTCTCTTGGCATGTACCTTGGCACAGTGCACAACCTGCATAACTGTGTGTGAACCCTTTTAATCCTGCAAGCAACCCTATGATGTCAGTGCTCTTATCCCTTTTTAAAATGAGGCAAAGAGGGCAGAGAAAAGTTAAATAATTTGCCCAAGTTCCCACAGCTCCCAAGTACTAAAGCCAGGGTTTGTAACCAGGCCATCTGGCTCCATAGTCCATGCTTTTATTAGATTTCTAAGCTATCTCCATATATGTCTCAAACCTAATATAATGGTGAGGTAGTTCATGAACAAAGGGATTGATGAATATATACAGTGCACATGTTATCTATGTTAGAATCATTAGCATTGAATAGTTATTGATTCCTGGGTGGCATTGAGAGCTTATTTCTAAGCAGGCTTTGGATTTTCTATTGCTGAATATATTTAGATCAGAATTAATATGAAAACACTACCTCAGAATTTTCAAACCATATATGTCCTTAATGATTTTTTTTACCTAATCTTTTTGTTTTCTAAATAAAAGAAACAAGGCTCAAATTGAATGTTTTACCAGTTACAAAGAGTATAACTTTAATCAAGTTGTCAGGCTGTGTTATATCATAAATAATATGTTAAATAGTGAAAGAAACAATCTCATCTCACAGTTCTACACATCAATCTACTTGTATGTGAATGCAAACATTACTAACAGAAAATAGTTGTAAATAGTAAAAATTATTAGTAAATGCATCAGCTGGATTTCCACTTTGGACCCTTTTATAAAATACTGCCTCTTTTCTAACAGTAATATAATAGATATTGCCATCTTCAGGAAAAAGTTATAAAAACAAAACTGTAAAATGATAACAAACAGTTAAAGAATAATGGCTATGATAAATGGGTAGTTTATTAAATGACTCGTAATAAGATTAATTTGTTCCTTCCTTGTCCAAGAGATACTTAAAGTAATTGCATCTATGAAAACTGCACCATCATCACTTTTTGTTTTTGATGATGTCATGGAATAGTCCCATAGACTGAGATATGCTCAGCAGTTTTTCTTATATCTGTCTTGCTATTATACCATACTAATCTATAGGCTACTGGTTACCACCCATGAATTTGCAATATTCTATGGTATCTGCATAATAAAAAGAGAGGTTGCTAAATCACTCAATCTCCTAAATAAAATGTATGGCAGTTTTAATAATGTTAAACTAATATATATTAAAGTGTTCTTGAGAAATCTTGAGATGCTATGAAATACTCCTAATGCCATTTTGCAGCATAAACAGGTTGGGGATCACTGCTGTGTACTGTAAAACTATCACGTGCTCTTCATACACATCCTACCAGCTTAGAGACCTAAGTTTTGAATTTGTCTTCATATTCATTCACATCTCCATAAGTAAAATCCTTTTATTTTTGTCCTAAAGAAGAAGTTATTACCTACCAGTCATTTCACAAAATTAAATGACTGTAGCTCCCACAGATATTCTCCATACCTCTGTGTGATGTAAGAAATGAGTACAAGTCTAAGCTCCTAGGAGTAGTTCACCACTTAGAATCACAAATTCAGTAGATACCCTTTGATTACTATCACCATGGTTACATATTTTTGACATATTTTTTCGAGAAAATAAGGATGGCCACTAACCTATAAAAATACTTTCTTACTGCTGGTAGATACTATTAAATCTTATAGGTCTAATTATTAATTATCAATTATAGATCCAATTGTCAATTATGATGATGCAGTTGTTTGAAGTGTTTATTTCTTACTAAAATATTTTCACCTTATTTTGAAATAATGCTTGGGACTTTTTAAAAGGTGATGTATTTTTAAATATTGTAAAATATTAAATATTTTTAAATATTAAAATAAAGATATTTCTATGGAGAATTATTTTCTGAGTGCATTTCTCCCTGGAGTAAGTGATTATTTGGATATGTTAGTTGGAAATTATAAATTGCTGTATTGAAATACAATAAATGGAAATGTATTCCATATGTTATAAGTAGGTTCCTAATAATGACCTCAAATAGGCTGGTTCCAGTCTTCAAACACTTGAATAGAGATTTGGTAAATGGTCCCTAGTGGCATGAAAAAATTGACGCACCACTCAAAACTTAAAATCAACCAGGCAGACAAAAGACCTGTTAGAAAATATTGTTTCCAAAACATCAGGCTTCAGGCTGCCCTGTTCTCACGCTATTGTGGCTGAAGTATATCTTTTAAAAAAATTAGTCTTCAATTGCTAAAAGTCACAAATCGATTTATAGATGGTTAAATTTCAATGTGAATTTCATGACCAAAGACAATTAAATTATTCATAAGAAAAACATAACTATTTTAATACCAAGTAAACATCATCATTTATACTAAATCAAATAGATCATGTTCAGTTAATTAGAAATTTTCCAGATGTCACCTACAAGATGCCTATAAATACTTAATAGGAAAACACAGCAAAAGGTTTAGGACAATATACATAACTAATAGAACACAAAATCAACTTCATTGAAAATTTTTTAAAGTTCTGTTTTCTACTTTAGATATCCTTTTTCTACCTTTGGAATTTTAAGGCTTATGGAACAAGAATATAAAAAGATATCATTTAAGTCAATGAAGTGTTTCTATTTGTTTAAAAAGTGCCTTACATTCACAGCATGATCACTGCTGTTCATTCACTTGGATGAATAATTCTGATAAACACAAAGGCAGTCAGATAAGTAATTCACACAATCAGATGTGTCTATATATTGAACTTTTTCTTTGCAGCTAAATTAGAGAGGAAAAGAATATAATGTCACAGCTTCTGTACCATCCTGCAAAAAAGTTTGTGGGGAGTGAATGGTAATTACACACATAAGAATTATATTCTAGAGATGTAGAACATCAGAAATTGCCAAGGGGAAGATCAGTAACAATTAAGCTTAATACGCCAGTGTCTAAAGGTCTGGCTTCACGACTGATTAAGTTGCTGTCATCTGTCATCTATTTCTACATCAACTGACACCTGTTGTACAGATGCACAAAATGTGAAAAAGGACTATTTGTGCTTTTGAGGTTAAAAATATAAACATTTCGCCCTTAAAAACACGTGTCCACATACATCCAACAAATAGTATAGCAAGAGATTTTTTTTTTTTTTTTTGAGACAGGGTCTTGCTCTAAAACCCAGGCTAGTCTCGAATTCCTGGCCTCAAGTGATCCCCTACCCCTGCAATTCCTGAGTAGCTGGGAAGGGTAGTTATGTTCAATCTTCATGTAAGGAATATTCACATTCATCCTAGGCCACTGAGAATCTACATCCTTTTTAAGAGACCTTCCCAAAAAACTAAGGGAGGGTGGATGCAACATAAATTGCACAACAATAGGGCACTAAAAATCTCGAAAGAAAAAAATCAGTGGAAACGCTGGGGAGCTTGCCAATTTTGATCCATTTTCTTTGCACCGACTCCACAGACCTAATTGTGCACCTACTGTGGTGTGCACGCACCTGCAGTCATAACCAAGTATACCTCTGCCCAACTCCAGCTGACTTCATTTTCTAGGAAGTCCCCAACTTGGAACGAAATGCATGCAAAGGAAAGGCGTCTACACACAATGACCAGACTCGCCCCCCCCCCCGCCCCCGCGCACCCTCCCCACCGCCAGACTTTGCCAGTAGTCCTGCTGAGAACAAAGGCTGCCTGTGTAGGCATCCGTAAGCGACCCATGGCGAACTGGTCTGGTCTCAGAAATCATCCCAGTAAACATGAAGTCCACCCAGAGCAACAGGGGGTGGCATTTCTGTGTCTGTCCTCCGTCTGCCTCCGCCCTACCCCACCCCACCCCTTTTGCAGGTGCCGAGCCCTGCCCTGTGGTCAACTCTCTCATAAAGAAAGTGGAAATCACACCTGGAAAAGGCTGTGCCTCTTATGATGAAGCAGAGGCTCGCTTCACAGCTTCTGAAGCAGTCACTCCAAAAAATTTTTAAACTTTTCTTTGTGCGTGTTAAGGACGAAAGGGGGAGAACAGCACAATCCGTTTCTCCCCCATTCTCCCGGCCAGGTACCCCGCACAGGTTTCCGACCCCCACCCCCCTGCAGCCACACCCCCACTCCCGGAGAGCCTCCGCCCGAGAACAGGCTGCTCCGCAGCGCCCCGCGGTCCCCTCCTCTGGCTCGTCCGCTCGCCGGCGGTCCCCTGACTCACCGCTGACCACTCGGCGGCAGAAGGCTCCGTGGCCGCAGAGCAGCGCGACGCCCAGCAGCAGCGAGACCGCGCGGCTCATCGCGGCGCTCGGCGGCAGCAGGTGTTGCGTGGAGCAAGGGCCGTCTCAGCCAGCGGCGGTTCTAACCCCGCAGCCTCCCTGCCTCCCGGCGGGGCCCTACTCCCGCCGCCCGAGCCCAGCTGCCCGGCCCCCTGCACGCATCGCCCTCGGCCGGGACCTGCCGCGGGGCGCGCTTGTGCCGCGCGCGGATGTGCCGGCTAGAGCGCACGACGCCGCGGGTGCGCGTCCGGGGACGGGGCACGGAAGTTAGGCGGCGCGTGTCTGTCCCAGAGGTGAAGCAGGAGCCCCGGCTTGGACCCCACCGTGGCGCTTTGCTTTTCTCCCCGGCCTGTGCCTAGTGAGGGGCTGAGTCCGTGCGCACTGGTCGCGGTCTCACAGCAGCAGCCGCAGCTGCTCTGCGCTGGAGGCACCGTCTTATATACCCACGACCTGAGGTTCCGGCCCCTCGCTAGTATTATAATAATTTTTAACTACTTCGTCTCTCCAGTCATGCAGAGCATCCCCGCCCCTCCCCTAAAAACCAGCGCCACTTTGAAAACCGTCCAGTCAGCAGCCCCACCTTCTCCGCTCCCCCCTCCCCTGGCCCCACTTGCTATTCACCAACAGACTCCACACTCATTTGTGTAAAATGTGACAGCTTTGCTATTAAACTCTGGCAAAAGTTGGATCCATTTTGATTTTCTCAAAGATAAATGTCCACGGGAATGCCAAGTTGTGGGGCCTTTCTCTTTTTGTGCACCATTGCTGGATCATATGTATTGGTAGATGCGGGCACTAGCTACTATTTAAGATGGATTGGCAGAGTGGGAGCCCAGGCTGCCCAGTGAATTATACAATGTGACAGGTATTTTTCCCCACCTAGGTTCTACACATAGATTATTTCGAAGCAGGTTGTTTGACGAAATTGCCGCAGGAGCAAATTGAAGGGAATATTTGAAGCATGGTTTTTGCAACTGATTTAAATCTCAGTATTTGCAACTCCAGAGAAAACCATCAACACAGTATAAATATTCTGAATTCTTGGGAATTCACTAGATATAAAATTTATGATTTTTTTTTGCAATCATCTGTTGGTGACCTATGGTTTATATTTGAAGTAACACTCATTTTAAAACCTAAAAAGACACTTTTTCATAACCTGTCTTGCTGTTTATTATAACAGTCCACCCAAGGACTGTTATATTCAGTTTCCTAGACTGCTGGAAAGTTGTTCATGAGGGTTTAATCTGTATCTGGTCTGTGGTATGAACTCTAAAAATGCTCTCACAATGAGCTTCGGTAGAATTAGTATTTCCCACTATGTTGCTTTAAATGCACGAAGATTTGTTAAATAAAATTCTTTGCCTTATAGGGAAGTACACTTTCTTCTCACTCCTTGCTGTCTTTGGTTTTCATAAGTCACAAGTACACTCTAAACATTTGTTGGATTGTTTTCCTGTAAAAAAAGAAAGTTAATACTGCTACAATAAAGACCAGTGTTTCAGAATTAGAAATTTTAGCACTTGGAACTCAAAGCTTATTAAATCGACCCTATTTGTGAAAGTAGAATTCTAAAATAATTACAATAATATCTACTCTATTCACTTTATTTTTCCTTGTATTACTTTTTTAAAAACCACTAATTTATTGCACAGCCATGGGCAATTAATACATCTGGACATTGTAGAGGGCATGGATTCTGTGACTTTCACCACTAGCTAGATGTCCACAAGAAACAGGCAGTGTAAAAATGGAAAGGTGGTCTCAGTGAGACTGGCCCCAAAGTAATTTCAGGAGTGAGTCAATCACTCAATCTCCAGAGGCTCTAAAACATAAGTAGAGCAACAATATTTAGAATCCAAAGTTTTCGAAAGTGATATCGGGTCCTTTAATAGTACACTGTGGAATTTCTATATCCCAAATATATGAATTATTACTTCACTCTCCCCATTCATTTTAAATGTCTGCAATTTCCAGTGAGCACCTGCTTCATCTATTAATAAGTCTCAAGACAGCCTTAATTTCAGGCCTTGATTGGGATTCAGTGGCTCCTCGCATGGGCAACTCTATACAGTGGCTTTAGCCTCAGTAACAGCAGGGTTCATTCGTAGGTGCTGCAGACCGAAAAGTGACAAATATGTTCTACAAAGAGATTTATTACAATGTTTAATATTATTATAATTTTACATTAATGTATTTGAGATGCTGTCAGAGTCTAATATTAACTAATTTACTTACTCTGTTATAATGTATTTAAAGATGGTTAATGATTCTCTTAACACTATCAATAATATTGCCAGGACTTAATAAAATAAATATCTGAAAGTTTAAAAATAAGATTGTTACTATATTACCTCTTCAGCCACAGGCAAAAACAAGTTCCTTTTTTGGGGGGGCAGTGGTTAGTTATCACTTCCAGGAAAAGACCATTTCCTCCCAATTTTTGAGAGATGACACCTTGGCATCTGTGCAGGCCAGTAACTGGCTCAAATGTAAGGATAAGCAATTGGCCAAATTCTCCTGAGATTTAGTTGTTTTTTCAAAACGTGTCTGTGCTGTAGAATACATGAACTCTGCCTCATTCAGGAGCCAGATCCACTCTTTCTCATAATCCCAAGAGAAGTCTTAGTCTTTGCAGGGCTAACTAGAGGAGCTCCATTGTTCACAGTGATGTCAGAAATGAAATTAAGAATTATACACACTACAGAAACATGCTTCCCTAAAGCTTGAAGTTTAAATTTAGTTACTATTAAGTCTGTTGCATGCTCTGACCATTCAGGTGATAAGTTAAAGGTATTTACGAAACTCCACTAAAAACATGTCTTATCAGATCTGAAGAATCATATGAATATATGTGAATGTTTAACTAAATATAATATCAACTGAGTAAATTAAAATGTATTTTAGTGCTTTTTAATTAATTTAAAGCAATATAATTGTGTACTATTGTTATCGATCTAACATAAGCCAATACTTTTTAGTCTAATCGTGTTTTAATTACTAAGTCTGGTCTTAATATATGTTAATACAAACAAACAAAATTATAATAATATAATCAAATAAAAAAACATGTGAGCTAAAGTCATCCTTGCTTCGAGTGTCTGGTCTGAATTATTAGGTACACAATTCACTAACTCCTCATAGAAGGTGGTATTGTGATATGGAATAATTACTTGGCTAGCAGAAACATAAATCTAAATTTTCAGTTAATAGAATCTTGGGCAAGTTTCTTCACTTGTTTGGTTTTTACTTTAAAAATATGAAAAGAATGAGTTAGAGAAATTCTGTGCTTCCCAACTAACTGGTATTCTGACCTAGAAATAGTAAGTTATTTCACAAATTTTCAAATCTTAATCTTTACTGCCCCAGCCAGACTGTCATGTTATCTGCTTATGTACACTAATTTTCCAAACGTATATCGATATTATGGTTCTAATAAAGTGTTCAGCTTTATAATTCTATTTCTTGAAAGCTGGAAAAACCTAACATCTCCCTCCCTCCTTCCCTTCCTTTCTTCCTCTCTATTTCTCTTTATTTCTATAAAAAGACAATGATGATTTATAATAAATGAGTATACTCTTTTATTTGATTTCCAAATTATTCAGAAAATAGAAGTCCTAGAAAAATTTCTATGGTTCTTTGAGTAACAGATCAATATATCACAGATGCCACATAAATGGAAAATCCAAATAAAAGCAAAATAAAACTGAGTGCCAAGTAAAAGATAATACAACTAAGAGACCATAAAGCTATAAATGAATATTTGATGAACTATGATGTTTTTCTATGAAAGTGGTCCATTTTACTAAAAGGAAAACTGTGTACAGAAGAGGATAGCTAAAAGACCTAAAAACTATAAAATATTCCTTTATGGTATTCACAAATATTAAATATTTCTCCAAATATATCAAATGAATAGAAAACGATGGCGACAAAGTCACCCATAATAGCAATAAACCATATGTGGGATGACATATAAAGTTACAGAGGATTTGGGAAAAAAACAAAGGTATTAGGATAAAAAATCAATTTAAATATCCTTCTGGAGGTACATCTGTCACTTTGCAACTTTTTCATACACTGTTTCTAAGTGTAAATAGCTCACATGCCAAATGTATGTATATACTGCAGCACAGCAAAATGGAAATTTTGGAAATAATAAGGAACACACGATCAGATAACACTTAGATATTAGCACTTGTAAAAGTTTCTCTATCCTCTACTTTTTAAAATAAAAGTTATGATTTATTTACAATAAAGTCTAAATATTCTGCATTCCAAAGAAACTCAGTTAAAATAAACCTGATATAAAGGGAAAAAAATAACAAAAGAAAGTACATTCCTATTGCCAAATCCTTTACAACAAAAATAAATATATAGTCTATGTTACAATAAAGAATTGATGCTATAATACTGTATTTTTCTCCAAAGGGTAAACACAAAAATTCATAAGGTAGACTTAATTTTCAAGAGCTTGAGAAAACATCAGAGAGCTAAGAAATCATCATGAATGTTTTAGCCAAGTACCTCTTGTCTTCTCTAATGGATAGCAGTCATTTAATCTGATACTAAAAAATAAGGAATAATGGTTTATATTTTAAAATATTTATGAAGTTAAATAATACAACAGTTAAAAAATATATAAAGTTCTTAATACATGACTAGGATAATTATTGTGGACTCAAGCCCATCTCTGCTAAGACTCAATATCATGTGACTCTAAAGACATCTGAAAAAAATACTTATTGGAAATAAAATGTAGGACAGAGGTAGACCTCAGTATGTTAATACCCGAATCACTTCTACCACTCATTCACAGCAGCCCCTCTCTAAATTATCACATAACCACGTCACTCTGTATGGCTTATTCTAACATGTTAAGGTCCGCTAGAAACCCGGTGTCTTTTCCAGACTCTACATTGTTTTCCTTAACCCAAGTTAATGATTCAGGGTGCTGAGAAGCTTTAGGATGATCACAATGGAAATGAAGATACTGTCCTTCAGTCTCTTCCTAGATCTGCAGAAGATCTTCCCTGATCTCATAATTTAAGACCACCTCTGCTCATGCTCCTCCTGTTTATTTCTATGGCCACATCTGTTATTCATTTAGCAAATATTAACTGAGCACATATTGCATTTATTCTGTTAAAATTGTGGGTATATTTGTTTAACGTTTGTCTCTCTCCACTAAGATAGTAAGTTCTGAGCTGGTTTTATTCTCTACCCCCTCCCCCCCATGGGTAGCTTTATTTTCCAACTCTAATTTTTGGTAAATTTTAATAAATAAATAGTAAGTGGGGTGTACTTACTATTTATTTGATAAACAGTTATAAAAAATGAACAACTCTATGAATTAATGTTTTTTATCTTCTCCTGTAGCTAAGTTTAGGAGCTTTTCCCCTTTCC